TATTGTAATATTTTCACAAGATATGTATACTGTATACTTGTATATTACGAGGGGCGTTCATTAAAGACTTTCCCTGACCCACTTCTGGTTGTCACATGTGGCTGAAACTTCACGTGAGTAATAACACATATGTCTATGGGTCATGTAATTTTCAGCATTGAACTATTAAAGCTACATGTATTTCTTTGAAGTTTTTGTACTTCAAAGGTCGAACGCCAAAAGAGACCTTTGATGAAATGAAAGCAACCTATTGGGAGGATGCCCCATCGTATGACGTAGTTAAACATTGGCATCGCCAATTTAAATGTTGTCGGTAATGTGTGGAAACTGCTCATTCCTGGTCGACCTCTTTCAGCCATTGATGAAGACACTGTCCGTAAAGTGGAGACTGCCATTTTGGAAGATCGCCGTATAACTGTTCGCCAGTTAGCACATGATGTCAAGTTCTGTGTAGGGTCTGTGGAAAAATCATTCATGACAATTTGCACATGCATAAGGTGTCTGCACGATGGATTCCCAGGCTGCTGACACCTTTTCAGAAGCAGAAACGAGTCAGTTGCTCAAAGGCTCATTTAGACATGTACAAAGAATACCAGGCAAACTTTTTCGACAGACTTATCACACACCATGCACCATCTGACTTCCATATCTTTCCAAATATGAAGTCATTTCTGAAAGGAACTCGCTTCCCAGATGATGAAACACTGATTTCGGAAGTCAAGTCATGGTTTGGTACGCAACCTACTGACGTTTTCAAGCAAGGTCTTTATAGTTGCATAAAACGATGGGAGAAGTGTGTAACTCTTGGTGGTTGCTATGTAGAGAAGGACTAATAACTGTGACAAGTTTCGTTCCACTATGTCCACTGCAAGTAGGTCAGGGGACATCTTTAATGAACGCCCCTCGTAGCTTTCCAAGAGTGCCCAGTGAAAAAACCTTACGGATCCTTGTAGATATTGGTACATTAGATCGATGTATTAATTCCCCTCGTGACAATGCATGTGTAGCCGTGTGCTGAAACAAAGTGTGGTATTTTGTACATAGTTGGGTATATGTCAGTTCACATTTTATTTTATTAGTAAAGATAAAAAAAGCATAAAATAAATAAACCAAAAACAAACTACCTTGTTATTAAATATTGAAATTACTTGTAGAAATTACCTGTAGTGTGGGTGCTGTAATAGCAGTCATGTCATATCATTGTCTGGTCTTGATTGTTTACTAACACTGGTCACCATCTTGGTTCCTCGGTTCTTCTAATTTTCAACCTCTTCTTTTTCTGAATTGGGAATCATCCCAATTCACTTCAATTCTTCTTTTTTATAAATAGTAGACTCACCTTATTGCCACTTACCTGCCACTGATTGGTTTCTTGTGCCAAACAATTCTCTTCTTGGCTGTGATTGGCCCTATTGGTTTGCCATAGTTTTCTTGTTGTTCACCTGTAGATTGTTCCTCAGTGTGTACCTGTCTCTCACTGAGAGACCTTCTCATTCTTATATGCAGGTGAGTCAACTTTTCACAGTTTCAGTTAGAGATAAGTTAGGCATAGGTTTATTAAATTTATTAAACAGGTTAAAACATTTATTACAATTATCAACTATTAACTATTAACTGGAACATACTTTAATTTAAATTAACATTTATATATCTAGTCAGTTTATAAACTTAATAATGGCCATGTGCTTGTTAGCGTTGGCCATGACAGTTTTCCATTTTGGTTATGTAAAGTCATAATTGGCACATGTGTTGGTACAGTACTGTGCATTGATGTAGTAATATAATATTCATGCAATGTTGCTATGATTGGCCTAATTGTATTGTATGTGTTGTTAAATGTGAGAGTGTGTACCTGTCCCTCACTGATTGACCTTCTCATTCTTATATACAGGCAGGTACACAGTCACTTCACCCATCACAAATAAAAGATTGTCATAGTTGGCCCTGGTCACTCTTGTCTATCCCGCATCGTCCAGAGACCCGAACATTATACCCATGGACCACGGTCTCATTTGGCGCCCGAACAGGGACGACGCTTGTCGGCAGGATGTCCAAACAGCCAACAGTGGGTGGTGAATACTAATTGACGTTTTAACTCCACTGTGATTGTCAACATGCCATGCTGTGATATACCACACGTCATTTCTTTTGCTTGCTGCAATGTGGTGTTTGTGATTTGCCACCTGTGATGTAGTCCTTGATACTTCGATTCTGAATTGTTTCTGCAAGGACCTGTGATAAATGACTATATATTAATGCGCTGTGATACTCGTGTTCCTATGGTGTTGGGTACTAATGTTCTCAAGGCTGCTACTATCAATCTTGACGCTTCACTCAAGGATGTTTCTTGTCAGTCGTTGGCTTGGACGTTGGCTCGCCAGTGGTTTGTAAACAGATCTGAGGCTCTGGGTAGGGTTGAAAATGTTCAGTCTACAAAGTCAATCATCGTTGAAGCTGGTTGTAATCAACTCATTACTGGTCTATGTCGTGTTGGGACTAAACCTCAACCTGGGATGCAATATTGTGCTTTTCCCTCTACATCATTACCAGGCTCTCTTAATTTAGTCTGTGGAGTTGTTGATGTGCCAGTATAGTCCGGTAAACGAAGCGCAAAAAACGGCCAGGTTGGACAAAATTGCTTTATTTTGTTTTTCAACTGAATTTGATAGGAAATTATGTCTACAAGTCAGGATTAAAAATTTACCACAATCTGAGTGGTGCTAATGACCTAGATTTGCCGAAATCCAAGATGGCCGCCAGCCAGGCTCTGAAAACCCCAAAAATGTTGTATCTTCATAACCATTTGACCTATACCAACAAGAGAATTATGTAAACCCATGTTTTTCAGGTCAGAGAATCCATTTTATAACACCAGATTTGCTCTAGGATGCCCCTTTGTCTCATTTTTGCAATAAATATGAAACTTCTGCTTAAAACAAGATGGTGGCCAAAGAATCAACTGTTTAACCAATCAAAGCATCAATGCAATCATTATTGAAGTTAACAGTCTTCATATCTTCAAATATGAAGATATTGAGGTTAACACACAAAATTTATTTATATTTAGTGACTTTGTGTCTGTATATATTGATCTTGTGTCCATAACACTCCACATAACTATTCATCTGTTGACTCAGTTGCCACATTGAGGCAGGTTGTTCCCTTGCAATGTCCACAGGCTAAGGTGCAGAGAAGTCCATTCTTTCGACAGGAACAAGTGTTCCTGTCACACTTGCCATTGCAATTACATTTGATCAGTTTTAGTAAGCAAGCAGGTGCGGCATCTTTCTTCATTCTCAGTGGCTTCAATCTGTCCACACTCTGACTTTGGTAAATTTGCCAACCCCAGTTGGTTGGATCAAGGTTATTGCCGAGCCATGTTTGAACCTGATGGTATACCCGGTAGCTGTGATACTTGGCTGCATCTGTGGTCGGTGGAGGGATTCAGGAGGTAGGTATATACTGATCTTGAGGCCACTTTGTTGCTGAACCTTACTGCTTTTTCATAGTCAAGACTGTTTCCAGAACTACAGCCATATAAAACTTCAAGAGCTGCCTGGCCGTGCAAACTGACATTCTCATGTCCTTGATTTGGTTTCATGAACTCAGTGCCATGCTCTCTAAGCTGGTGAAATTTACTCAAAGCCATGATCTTTCCTATGCCATATGGCCTTGACACTGTATCGCATCCAGTGACAGCGTGTAGGAAAAGCAATGTTGAAGATAGATCAGGATCTAGACCTTCTTGCATGGTACGAATGTTGATTTTCTTTGTGGATGTTTGCAGGCATATTCCATGATGTATTGGCTTCAAATGGTGAAGAAGCAAGATGAGCAAGTCTGTGTCATCCCCAACTACTGTCACGGGTCTCTTCATGGCAATCTTACAGGCAATTGCGACAATGTCATAGTCAGCATCAGCTGAGCTGTGGTGGACCTCTATGCCAGCCTTTTCCATCTCAGTGCCCAGGAAATACAGAAGTTTCTGTTTGTTCTTTTGGTTTGCAAGGAATGCCTTCTTTTTCATAGTCATTTTCATATTGGGCTTGAAATTGACTTCTGGGCCAAAGCTGTGCGTACCTTCTCGTCTTTGATGGGTTTCGTCCTTGGTAGAGGGGCCACTCTCGTAGCCATCAAATACCAAAACAGCATCACCATAGTGACGAGTTACAAACTGGACATATATGCTTGAAATGTCAGCATAGGTTGAATGACTTGGCCATGGTAATTGCTGCAAGAGAGCTCCACCATCAAGGACATAGACAGCATCTCCGGGTGATTCGTTGTCAAGACAAGCTGGAACCTTCTTCACCAAGCCCTTCTGAAGACTTGACTTGTCTGGCAGGCGCATTAGCAGACTTGTATCGAAGAGGGCTGTTGGATATGATGATAGTTCGTATGAGAACAAGGTTTGTACATCAATTATTCCTGTGCCAGCTACTACAAGTCGCTGAAACAACTGCTTTGAGTCAATCTCCAGACGATCCCCGTCGACGGAAATGTAGGTGAAAGAGGCTAATGTGCTGACCTGATCCTTTTTGCAGAACTTGTATTCTGCTACAGTTTTGCCTACAATTGAATCTACTATGGCCTCTCCAACTGTGAATGCTCTGTCAACATTTACAGAACTGTCACCTATGAGTCCAGATGAGAGACTTCGCAATTCCTTTGAATTCTTTGAGAATGGTTCTCTTTCCATGAAATAGTTCATTATGGTCTTCAGATCTTTGATGTCTCTTGTCATTCGAGCTTCTGATCTGTCTTTGTGAAACTCTGCATCACAGTTGTCATGAACACCTGTAACTACTCCCATGGCTTTGTTGATCTCTGCACATGCAGGAGTGGAAAGCAGCCACAACAAGCTTGTTGACTGCTCAAAGCCCCGACCTCTTGTAAGACCACCTACTGCCTTAACATTTCTCATGAGAACTTGTTCTATAAAGAGGTCACTGTAAATCCCTGCCCAGTACCTGTCACTTCTTCTCAAGACAAAGAATCCATCAACAAACATGTGGTATACATGAGGGATGACTTTCCTCAAGATTCTGCATCTTGTTCAAGTACAGGACAAGAGACTTTGTGTAGTTATGATGTCCTGATGCGGCAAGGTATGGTAACATCTCATGTAGTGTCTGAAGATACAGCTTCCAATTTCCAGTACGACCAGCCCTGATAAATGCACGAAGGATAGCGACTAATGTCATATACATGATCCATAGCTTGGCTGTACGATGATCATTGAGAGATTCACGCCATCTTGTGGAAGCTTCTTGTAGCTTTGTGAAAGGAGTAGTTCCTACAGCTTCATCAAGGGGTAGATTGCCATCTGAAACTTGTTTGCTGACATTGTGTATTGCCGTAAGAATGTCTGCACCATTCTGGTAAGCTGAAAAGAAGAATTGCCATATATACCTATACTGAAAAGGTCTTGTGTATATATTATTCCATTACTCGAAAAATCAAATACATTGTATATAAAACTACATACTCTCATCTGGCAAAGGTTCAACATCATGCTCATCCAGCATATCTTGGGGTTCTTCATTCACTGCTATATCCTCTCCATCAGTAGGGTCAAGAGAATCTGAAAATCATACAACATGTTTAGTTAGCATGTCCACATTGAAACAAAGTTTTGCTCAAATTCAACACAGATGAATCAGAACATTATATGGGAACAAAACAAATAGGACAAATGTACCTTCAATCTGATTGCCATTGTCAGCATCGTCCTTGAAGACATGTGGTACAGGAACATGAAGCATTTGTGCTGTTGCAATTGTGTTCAGAGCAGCATCCACAAGACGGTGAGCCCTGACAGCTCGTGTGACTGCCTTTCCAGACAGCATTTGTTCAGCACTGCCCTCTGCGTAAACTTGAACTATGGCCTCTTTCAATCCAGATCCAGCCATTAGACTGCCAATTGATCCTAGGAAACTCATTTGAGTATGGAAACCCCCTAACATGAGGACAATTTGGTGAAGAGAACTCTGTGTCGGTTGTGACTCGATAACCATGTATGCTATCCACCAAAGCTGCTGGTCAAAGGTTATGACTGGTGTAGCACAATATCTGCCCGAATGTTCAGCAACATACTCCAACGTTGAGCGGACACAGGTTGGGTGTGATGGTGTCAGGTCTATCATAGGGAGACAGATATCCGAGCTTTTTTCAGGATGTGATAGGTCCTTGTGAAGCATCTGCATGTATCCAGACCACATTGGCTGAGATTGAGGCTGATGAAATGCTACTGTCCACATGATATCAAGGCAATCATTATGAATAAAAATGATGATGAACATCCACCTTTTGATATGAGATTTTGGACAAGATTTCTCTGGGGTCAACTTGGTTTACCAAGTTTACTTTTATCCAAATGTCTTATATCTTCAAGGCGCACATCTAGCCGTGGGACTTTTGCGAGAACTCTTGATAGCTGGAGTGAATGTTGCCATTTGCCCCATCACATGAATGGACCCATATCCATCAAGAGTTCTTGATGCATGGTCTACATTATCTGCCTGGTACTGTAGAAATGAAGTTGAATCGTCTTCAGGTACATCTACACCTTGCACAACAGCAGCATTTGTTCTGTACTTGTTTGCCTCAGAGTATGAAGCGCAGAAACCAAGTTTGCTGATCATGTCTACTAGATCACGATGACCATATTTGTGCTCCAAGGTAACACTAAGTCCTACTTGAAGGGGTGGAAGAAACGATCTTGGGCATGTTGATTGCATAATTGATTGACCTATTGAAGCCACACGAAGTTTGCATTTTGCTCTTAATAATGCTACTCAACAACAATTGAAGAGAATGTGGAAGATAAGCCAAATTTCTTTCAACAGAAGACATGTCTTCTGATGTAGGGTATTCATCATCATGACGCATGGATTTGATATCTGCTCTTATGAACTTCCCAACACTTTCAATAAGTTTGTCCATGTCTGAGACATCATTTATTTTCGAGGCTCTGACTTCTGCTTCTTGTACTATAGATTTCAAATTGGATGTCAGAGTTACAATGTTAGGAAGTTGCCGTATGGTGGTTATTGAAACTTTTGCACCATAGTGCTTTTCAAGCTCTCGCTTAAGTTGCTTTGGTGTGTAAACGTCTTCCTCTGACAGACCACTCTCTCAGCATAATTTGGTGAAGGTCTTGAAGTGTGATAGTCTCATCATCGTTTTCCTCAGATAGTCAATCGCATATTTCAGGCTATTAGCTTTGGATATGCTTTGTGGTCGACCAACCTTTCTTCTCTTGTTGGAAGAATGCTTGTCATCTAAAGAGTATATTTTGGAGGAACTTGCCTGCCATGAACAGTTCCTTGCAAGTGTGGTGATAGAGAGCTTCCTCGGCTGGAAAGATCATTCACTGTGGACAGACGAGATTGAACCTCTAAAGCCCATTCATCATTCCTGGTGTGGCTGGAGTAATAGCATTCTCTTGGAAACCCAAAGTAAGGACATGACTGTATCTGTAACATGCTTTGGTTGGCTTTTTCTGGGCAACACTTACATCAACAAAAACCACAAAACAAGCAGTGACTTTTGAAATTAAATATATCTTTGTTCGTCGATCTCAGATGTGCTTTGAGTATGTGAGATGAGTCACGTTTTTAAGCACATTTAATTAATTTAGGGTTTGTGTGCTTGCTCCTGCATGATTTGTGAGCAAAAGCATGTTTGCTACTATCAAAAAAGCCAAGTCAGGGAATGTCAAGCTCTCTCTTTGTTTGCCCTGTTAATGCCTAAACAGCCTTTCTCTGTCAATTTAACAAAGTCCCCATGCTGCTCAAAGTCGACAACTCCTTTGCAGATGACACAATTCATGACACTTCAACCTGAAAACAAAAAGAATAAACTTTTTCTATTCTAGTGCCTTGAAATAAGCAATTGATAATGTTTTAACTCATGGTTCGTTTGAGGTATCACAGTTATAAGGGAAATAAGGTTAGTTGTTAGGAAATAGCATCTTTGTCAAAAAGTTTGAATGGGGAAGTATGAATTAAATGCATATATTCAAGAAAATCAGAGATGTTTTGAAGATTGATGGTGTATAGTTATTCTATGAGATGGGACAAATAAAAACAGAGATTTACATACCTTTCAGTGGAAAATCCAGACAATTTGTAAGAAAATTATGCCTTTTGAAAAGCGTCTGCTTCAACCAAAATGGCCGTTCTGATACTACTTGACACAAAACTAATAGTATTTATGATTTTATTGACAGTCACCAAATGATTTTTATAAAAGGTTTAATATTAAATTGTTTGGCTGATAGTAAACAAAGATAAATGCCATTAAAGCAAATAATACTTTTTAAAGGTCTTCTATAGGAGATAGGAAAGACAAGTCTATAGTGTATGACAATTGTGCAATTAATGACAATTTTCACATGAATAAAAATAGAATTTAGGTCTAATTTAAAAGGTTAATGTAAGTTTAATTTATCATTAAAAGGATAAAAAGACAAAAATGTAACTTCATTGTAATATCAGATTTTGCCATTTTTATTCAACACCAACTTCGGCAGTCATCTTGTTTTTAAGCAGAAGTTTCATATTTATTGCAAAAATAAGACAAAGGGGGCATCCTAGAGCAAATCTGGTGTTATAAATGGATTCTCTGGACCTGAAAAACATGGGTTTACATAATTCTCTTGTTGGTATAGGTCAAATGGTTATGAAGATACAACATTTTTGGGGTTTTCGGAGCCTGAATGGCGGCCATCTTGGATTTCGGCAAATCTAGGTCATTAGCACCACTCAGATTGTGGTAGATTTTTAATCCTGACTTGTAGACATAATTTCCTACCAAATTCAGTTGAAAAACAAAATAAAGCAATTTTGTCCAACCTCTTCATTTTATTTACTGGACTAGTAGGTCAGTCTACTTCAAGGGTTAAGATTGAGGTCACCAATGCATCGAATAGATCGGTCACTATCCCAGGTCATACCATGCTGTGACGCTTAGAGCAAGTTGAAGTTATGGACCAACTCTCTATACCTGATGAACAGTCTTGAACCTCAAAAGATCTTTTTGATTTTGGGAAACTTAGTCAGACTTATACAGAGGAGAAAGTTGCGAGTTCAAGTCTCTAATCAATGAGTTTGATGATTTGTTTAGCAAGTCTGATTTAGACATGGGTCGTACAGATTTGGTGCAACATCGAATTGACCTTACTGATACCACACCTTTTAGAGAAAGACATCGAAGAATTCCTCCATCAATGTACCAAGAGGTAGAAATCACATCAAAGACATGCTTAGTGCTGATGTCATTCGTCCTTCTTCAAGTCCTTTAGCTTCTCCTATTGTACTAGTTCGTAAGAGGACTCTGGACTTAGGTTTTGTGTGCATTATCGCCGGTTGAATCGTAACACAGTTCGTAACTCTTACAGTCTGCCTCGAATAGAGAGGAGACACTTGATACTTTGCATGGGGCTAAGTACTTTAGTTGTCTTGATTTGAAGTCAGGTTATTGGCAGAGTTGAGGTTGCCGAGGAACATAAAGCTCCAGACGGCCTTCACTGTAGGACCATTAGGCTTTTATGAGTTCAACTGTATGCCGTTCGGCCTTACTAATGCTCCTGCAGTTTCAGTTCAGTTAGAGATAAGTTAGGCATATAGGTTTATTAAATTTATTAAACAGGTTAAAACATTTATTACAATTATCAACTATTAACTATTAACTGGAACATACTTTAATTTAAATTAACATTTATATATCTAGTCAGTTTATAAACTTAATAATGGCCGTAATTAGCGGTAGCGTTGGCCATGACAGTTCCATTTTGGTTATGTAAAGGTCATAATTGGCACATGTGTTGGTACAGTACTGTGCATTGATGTCAGTAATGTAATATTCATGCAATGTTGCTATGATTGGCCTAATTGTATTGTATGTGTTGTTAAATGTGAGAGTGTGTATCTGTCCCTCACTGAGAGACCTTCTCGTTCTTATATACAGGCAGGTACACAGTCACTTCACCCATCACAAATAAAAGATTGTCATAGTTGGTCCTGGTCACTCTTGTCTATCCCGCATCGTCCAGAGACCCGAACATTACACCCATGGACCACGGTCTCACATGGCATATGTGTATAACACTTTTGAACAATTATGAGTATCCGTGAGTCAGTGGCTTTTATACCATATCAAGATGCAAGGTTCAAATGTGATTTATAGAACCAGATAACCACAATCAACTGAATGTCAGCTAGTGATAAGCATTTATTTCTATTTATTTTATACAGAATAAATCCTTGGGAAGATAACGAACAATATGACCCAGCTTTACTGGGCATAATGACGTTTGCAAGAATGATCTTATAATTTCCGTTTTTGAAAGCGCATTAATGGGAGTAGACATACACGAACCTGAAAAAGGGGCAACGAGTTGAATGCGACTAAAAGGACGTATAAGTGAAAGTACACACCTGGTATTTTCATCCCCGACTGTGTTTGGGCAGTTTGACATTGGTACACATTGTGTGTGACTTGTAAGTCACATTTAAAACGCTTTATGTAAGAATATTTCCGTTGTTTTATGAAAAGCAATGACAAAACACCAGGCATTAACTGTTTTGTACGTCAGTTTAAAGAAAACCATGGCATATGTATATAACACTTTTGAACAATTATGAGTATCCATGAGTCAGTGGCAGTGGCTTTTATACCATATCAAGATGCAAGGTTCAAATGTGATTTATAGAACCAGATAACCACAATCAACTGAATGTCAGCTAGTGATAAGCATTTATTTCTAGTTATTTTATACAGAATAAATCCTTGGGAAGATAACGAACAATATGACCCAGCTTTACTGGGCATAATGACGTTTGCAAGAATGATCTTATAATTTCCGTTTTTGAAAGCACATTAATGGGAGTAGACATACACGAACCTGGATTATATTTATCGCAAACTGGCATTTGAAAAAAAGGACAACGAATTGAATGCGACTAAAAGGACGTATAAGTGAAAGTACACACCTGGTATTTTCATCCCCGACTGTGTTTGGGCAGTTTGACATTGGTACACATTGTGTGTGACTTGTAAGTCACATTTAAAACGCTTTATGTAAGAATATTTCCGTTGTTTTATGAAAAGCAATGACAAAACACCAGGCATTAACTTTGTTTTGTACGTCAGTTTAAAGAAAACATTGCCTTGTTTTAATATATACATTGTTCTAAGATGCTTCGGTGAAAGATCAAAGGCGCCGACAGTTTTTTTCAGACGATAATGTGCACTT